GCCCGGCCTGCGGGAGCGGAGGCGGCAGCGCTTCCCGCCAGCCTGTGCGGGCTAAACAGACCCAGCCCCCTCAGCCTTTCCTCACGGCAGAGATGTTCCAGCCTCTTAGTTACCTTTGTGGCTCTTTGCTGGACCCTCGCCAGTATGTCCGTGTCTCTCTCATACTGGGGAGCCCACAGCTGGACACAGTACGCCAGGTGTGGCCTCACCAGTCCTGAGTAGAAGGGAAGGATCATCTCCCTTGTCCTGTTGGTGACTCTCTGGTAGCCCAGAATACTGGTAGCCTTTGATACTGGTAGCCTTTGCCACAAGGGCGCGTTGCTGGCTCATGTTTACCTTGATGTCCACCACAACGCCCAAGTCCTTTCCTGCAAAGCTGCTTTCAGATGGTCACCCCCCAGCATGTATGTACTGGTGCATGGTGATGGGCTCCTGTCAGACCATTCTCCAGCCTGTCAGGTCCAACTGGATGGCAGCATGACACTCTAGTGTATCAACCGCTCCTCCCAGTTTTGTACCATGTGTCAATATTTCCCTGACATACTCATTTCTGCTGCAATAATTTATTTGTTTTGAAAGGCCTCCTTCAACCAGAGACTCACTACACTACATGGTGACCCACCTCCTTTGGAACAGCACCAGTGGCATAAAGAGAGAGTTCCAGCCCTTTGCTGCTGTAGGCAACAGAGGGGCTTGACGTGCACCTTGTGAACTCTCAGGACAGAGATGCCCAGGGAACTCAATGTATTTCATGGGAAACAAACACACAAAATATGCAGGAAAAATAACTATCTGTAGGAAAACAAGCACACAGCTAATTAAAGAATGCAAAGTTATTATAGAGTTCATAATAACTTTAAGAGTTGGATTAAAAAATAGTGAGTTGTTCTGCTGACTACAGGAGCTGTCAGTGCCCTAGGGCTGTAGTGGCCCTGACCACCGCACACCGAAGGGTCAGTGATCCACAGATCCACAGTACAGTTCCCCAGGGCAGGACAGGTTGGGGCAGCCCCACAGGCACCCTCCCCCTCCACCAGGGGTGTTGCCTCTGGAAGTGCCCCTCCTCACGAACTTGCCCTGACAGGCACTGAAGGAGGAGTTGAATTCTACAGTTCTGGAGATACTCTAGATAGCACTGGAACCCACAGGGAAATCCTGAGGTGCTGCTGTGTTCTAGATTGGTCTTCTAGACAGAGGTACACTAAGTTTTACCCTTCCCATCAAAGTAGCTCTAGAAGAGCAATCAAGGAACTTAAAGCTACCTTAACCTCCAAAGATAAGAATAACAAATTCTGTCATTCTGCATCTCTCAGAGATGCAGCAAAAAATCCATGGTGCTTTTTCCTAATTGTAAATTGGAATACTGAAAAAAATTAGTTCATGACCATCAGCAACCGGATCATATTAAGAAATTGTGCAGCTTAACAGAATCTTACCCAAACTTACCTTTAAAATTAAGCCTGGATCAAAATTTCATTACTTTGATACATGTTATTTTTATGACCATGCAAGACAGAAATATTTTATGAAACTCTAGAAGGACATGATAAATATGACCAACAAAAATGAACTTTTCTGTAACATTGTTCAAATTTCCTTTTCCTTTCTATATTTTTTACATAGCTCAAAATGGATGATGTTGAAAAAGGCAAGAAGATCTTTATTCAGAAATGTTCTCAGTGCCACATGGTTGAAAAAGATGGAAAGCGCAAGACAGAACCCAATTTTGGGGGTTTATTTGGCTGCAGAACAGGACAAGCTGCAGGATTTTCTTATCAGATGCAAACAAGAACAAAAGTAAAACTAACAGGTAACATGGATGACGTGCACTGTTGGAGGGAACATATGTTTTAAAAAAAGTTTTCTTTAGAGGTACAATAGAAAGCCTTACTCACAAGGAGTTACTCTCACAACTGTTTATTTTGTATTACTGCAGATTAATCTGAACTATAGTTTCAGAAACAAAAATCCTCGGTCCCTGTGTTAAAAGTTTTACCAATATTTAGCATGCTATGTCAGAAGGTGTACAGCTTTCCCAGAACTCTGTAGTATCAATGGGCAGATTTTAATTTCCGTTTTTTAAGAGTGCTTTTAGATTTTGTTTGCTGGTCACTACCCTCTACTGGCATCATAGTGTGCTGCAGTTGTTTCGCTCAGCAACACTTGACTAAATACTGTCATAGAATCATAGAATCACAGAATGTTTTGGGTTGGAAAGGACCTTAAAGATCATCAAGTTCCAACCCCCCTGCCACGGGCAGGGACTGTCACCCACTAGTAACTATGACTTGTCTTGTGTTTTTCCTGCAGTCAGTCTTGAAAAGCAATGGAACATCTGAAAATGAAACGTAATTCTGTGTGGGTTTCATTGTTTTTATTTACATTATTTGAATCTAAATTACGTTATTTGAATATAAATTATATTAGTTGAATCAAGCTATTAATTACAAATACAGTCCTGGGTTTTTTTCTGGTTACTAAGGTGCTTTAGAATTGGCTGACTTTTTTATTTTTATGTGATTTCTAGGAAATGTTTTGTGCCATTCACTTTATACTAGGACTTCCTTCACACAAAACATTGTCAGCATATATTAACTATTTTTTCTCAGTCTACAAATAATACAGATGTTAGGACAAGTTTTTAAAAGAAAGCCAGCAAAGCGATACCTAAGTCCACTTTAGACAACAGGAAGAGTCAGCTTTGGAGGTCAGAGGATAAACTTGAACGTGTCGTTATAGGTGTTTCAGTAGTCTTCCGTACCATTGCAGGCTTCTGCTGATAGAGACAGGTTGTAGCAGGCTTGGAAGGAAATGCTAATAGTTTTTCAACTTCTGTGAAAAGATTCCAGGAAGTGGCCATTGACAAGCCTTTTTCTTATGCCCTTCAATGAAGGACAGCCTTGATGAATTTCATGTCAATCTGCTGACACTCATTTTCAACAGTTGTATGAAATTAAAGTTGAATCTTCTGGATACTGAAATTACAAAGATATTTGCATAGTTTAAAAGTAGTAAGTAGTTTTATGTGAAATGATGCAAAGAATTGCAACTTTCCACGATGCAAAAAGAATTTATGTTTGAGTTATTAAAGTGACACAAAGACAATGCATACATTGTGTGTTTTATATTATGTATCATTTATGCCCACATTCCTCTTGGATTCTAGGCACATTATGTTCAGGAGCACCACAATTTCGACTGGAGATGATTGATATTTTCATAAATGTACTATGTTGGGCCAGCCTTGTATTTTACTATGGGTTTTGTTTTTCAGGAGTTATCAGGAGTAAGAGTACACTGATGGAGTATTTGGAAAACCCTAAGAAATACATTCCTGGTACAAAAAAAGATTTTTGCTGGAATGAAAAAGCAGAATGAAAAAGCTGATCTTATTGCATACTTGAAAAAAACCAACTTCTTCATGAAATATTGCTGCAGCAGCTGTAATGTCAGTGAAAAATGTTTTGAATTTTCACTAGCTCCTATCTTTAGTATTTTGATGTTAATTATTCATTAAGGACTAGCCTTAGCAAAATCAAGTAAGGATATGTTTTAAGACTCTATGTCCTAATAAACATGTTTGGAGGTGAACATTATTTATATTGTTATATAATTTCGTAGACCTTTGTGGAGTGTACTATAGAAATACTGTTCCTTTCTATAAGGAGGTCTATAGCCCAGTTCTGCAACTAGTTATTCAAATACTCACTGGAACTATTATTATTCAGTTGTGGCTATGTAAATAGGAAAGTGCCTGCAAGCATTAGGACAACTAAATTAAGTTTTTCTTTTGGAAAAAAAAAAAAACCCTCAGCATTATAATCTGGGAAGGTACGTACCATATGCAGTAGGTAACACAATATAACATTTCATTAAAAGAACACTATGTAAGAATAATGGAAGTGGAATATCAAGAATATCAGATATTTTCAGGGGACAAGTAACCTTTCAGTGGTAATGTTAATCTAAAAGAATCTTGAGGGATACAAATGACCTTTTTGGTTTAAAAATATAACACCATTCACTGTATTGTTAGTGTTCCTCTGTGCATTAAACCAGCATAATAATCTACTGGTCATCTTTCAGTGTTGTGGACTTTTTTCTCCATCTGAGGCTAATATATTAAGGTATCCTTATCTTCTAGCATATAGAATGAGTGAGGACTAACTAGCTCAAGCAATTGATACTAGTAGCAGATATTTTCACCAACAGTAGAGGACTCATGAAGGTGATTAAAGTGCTCCTAAAACCTCATGAATCTCTACCACTTGAATTGTGATTTACAATTTAATTATCTGTTTACACAAATGTGATAGATTAAAGCACACTTCACTCAAGCAAAGTTTCCTTATGTCATCCCAGAAAGGAGCATTAGCACAAAACTAATTTGCTATAGCATCCATTCCCAGGTACTCATTTTATCATTATCGTTCCAATACTTACCCGCCAGGGGCTTTACCTGATTGTCTTACAGTGCTCCATAGAGGCGAACTGCTGGTTTTGAGTAAGGGAATAAGCGAGAGTCAGGTAAAAAGTTCTGTGACACAACTGGACGAGTACCTGCTTTTTTTTCTTTTGTGCTGTAGCTATACAATACTTTCTGCTTTACTTTAATAGTCTGGACCTGTCCTGTTGACAGTTTAGACAATTAAAGCATCTGCCTGAATTATAAAAATTTTCTCAAGTGCTTTTCTCAAGTGCATTTTGAAGAGTGCTATGCCACTGCCTTTCTGAATAGCGAAACACACTCCAACTAAGCAAGCATTGACATTTCTCCTTGTGATTCTTTTAGGGCATCTTTATACCCAGGGAAACCAGGTGAGACTGGTTAAGGCCTGCCTTGCTGTCTGAGTTGGCACTGTGCACGTACAGCAATAAAAGGTACATCATACATAAGATGTGTCAGATATAAGCTGTCTGTACCTCGCTACAGCATACCTGTAGAATTACAAAGGCAGCACAATCCCATGGTGTCAACAAAATCCATTTGCCTTTTTGGCCCTCCCATAAAAGGCTGCACTATCTCAGGCCCACACATGAAGCTGCAGTCCACATATGGTGCACTTGTTTTTTTCACCCTGCAGACAGAGGTATAGTTTGATGTGTGCTAGAACACAGACAGACCTAAGTTTTCTCCTCACATCCACTGATGGACAGGCTTCCAAAGCAGGTTTTACCATGACAGCATGTTGAAAGCCTGCACAAGTTACAGAACAGACAAACCACTGTGATAATTTTTGTCACATCTTATCTTTAAATTTGAGGATTATAGTTTATATACAGAGTTCTTTACAATTAAGGTGTTACAGTAAATTGTTCACTATGTATTTTATGCAACGGAGACAACTGCATTTTTACTTCCTCAGCCTTGACTCTCCCATTTGAGAGACTGTCAATATGCAAATTTTTGCTGTAATCAAAGCCCACGCATGAAATCCCAGCAAATAAACTAAAGATGCCACAAGACTGAAGAAATCGTAAGGGAAGACCTTGTTTATACCTTACAGGCTGTATTGCTTTAAGTGTTTACATACAAAATGGCTACACAGTAACCATTCTAGAGTAAACACTGGTATGAATGCTCAGACCAAACCATGCTATAGTCAGACGGTAAAATTTACATACAATTATTTCACTTGTATGCAGATGCCCAAGGTCCTTGCTTGAGAGCTCAGGGTACGTGCCTGCCAGGCCTTCATCAGCTTACGTGACTTCTTTGCATAAGTGGAGCGTTTCTGCCAGTGTTGCAAAACCCAAATGCCACTGGAAAGGCCAAGGACCAATTAGCGGCTTTGGGCAAGTGGGTGACAGTGACGCAAGTGCCAGCGAGTGACAGTGGCTGAGGACAGTTCCGCAGCAGCACAGGGAGCTGTGTAAGATGTGCGGGGATGCCTCAGGGAGCGAGGGTGGCACCTCTGCTGCATTCCTCTAAGAGCAGGGCCTCCATCACCGATGTGACAGCCGCTGGCATGGGCAGAGGGGTTGTTCCGTGCGTGAAATCCCTTTACTTCCCAGCCCTGGCAGCGTGTCAGCAGCGCACCGAGAGAAACGCCTAACAGCTTAGCATCCAGCCGCCCTTGCCCTTACCAGGACACGCCTGCAATTTCATGTCCAAGCTACCTGCATGGAAAGAGCTCTCAGCTCCTTCAGAGGTGCGAGCAGCTCGGGGAGGGTGCCCTCCAACGCCC